AAGCCGAGACCATATTCAGAGAATTCCATTCTCGAAAAAACTGAAATGAACGCAGAAGTTTCGAAACAGAAAAGTGTTTCAGTGCAGTATTGCCGTCGAAAACAATTCCGAGATAACCAGAGAGTACGTCATCAGTAAGTCTATGGTCCGAGATTTCGGTAAAGTTTTATGGAAAAATCGCTTGGCTTGAATAAATAATTTTACATGTGATCGATTTTTAAACAATATCGCCTAATCAAGATTACGGCTATTCTTCTTCGATGAATAGCGCTATGTTTCGGTTGTCTGAGCAAGAAACAATACTTGCCAACACGGCGTACAAGGGGGATTACATGATTGACAGTCAGATTGACAGGCCTGTATGAAGTTACGTATGTTCTCTTTCTCTTTTCTAGCTTATTTGCATTTTCCCGTGCGACGTTTTTCCATGATGGGCGCGATTCCATAATGACAAATATGTAAATAAACACAAACTGTCGATGTAGATTATAGCATTGTACCGCTCTTTATGTCAGGTGATTACCTGTGGCCAGAGTACGCCATGACCTACTTCGAGAGGTATCTGGTCGCGGCCTTATCAATCAAGGTATCCAAAGCAGTAGCTCGCACTAGGAGAGAATGCCTCTGGTACGTGTGTATTTTCGCCAGACTTGTTGTTGGCTTTCAGTGTGGATCTCGAGTGTGGCCGTGAACCCGCCGGCTCTAAATAGATAATTTGAGTTTCGATGCCATTCAGTTATTTCATTACTCGGTTCCGATTGATGGAATTGTTTCAATCTACATACATCACAACCAGTATCTAAACGTCGGCGAAAAAAGCGACTTTTATGAAGCGCTTGATAACAGATGGAACAAAGCAAGAGCAATTAAGTTTACGTAACCGTGACTACACGTAGTCACGGCGTGATGCACATCACACAAACAATGCTTTGACGTGTTTAAATTTTAAAAACCATTTACAAACCATTTTTTCAAACCATTTTCAAACCATTTACTGCATTAAATTTTAAGTCACTAAAACGAAAGACGCAAGAATTTCTGATAAAACAGCATCCTCCGTCTTGTAGATTTAAGCCAATACTTTTTCAAAAATAACCACCAATATAATGAAAACGCTGGTGTGAGCAGACTATGTAAACAACACGAGCCGAGGTAAGGCCAAGGAAGTTCGAAGAAGAAAGCTATTCAACCGAGTAGAAAATGAAAAGCTTCGGAAGGTTTAATCCACATTTTACCGCGTATAACCTTCTGATATCGAGTAATATTAAAATTAAACATTGGAGTTCGTAATGAAAAAGGGGTACCCTGACGCTTGGAAAACCATCGAAGAAATCTCAGGCCCTTCGTGATCAAATTTCCCTCATATTTTTAGATTTCAAACATCACCTAGTCAGATTTTGAAAAGAACATTGGTCTACAAGCGATAGCATGGCGATTGTTCGATACTACTACAAATCATTCCTTCAAAGAGGTACTAAAACTTTTCACACGATCTGTTTTATTCTGAAACACAAATCAGAAATATACCAAACGAAAACTACTCACCCTAAAGCAAAATATTTCCTACATTGTGAATGAACACATCGCCATTTTTCTCAGGAAAGTTTCACTTCTCGATGCTGTTTGCTTTTCTTATCTAAGCTTTAGGACTAACAAACTAATAGATATGCAAGGAAAACATTGGAAACGTTTTCGACGGCATTTGGTCGAACATCGCGAGCCCGAGCAAATTAACAATATCCCAGACTTTTGTCTAGTCTAGGAGAGCTGAATCAGAAAATGCAAATGAGGCAGTCATGCACTCAGCACGTGGGACTCATAACAAGTGAGTGATTGCAAGTGATTAGGAAGTGAACCAAATCATTTATAATTGAACACCGGTCATTTTTGCTGTCAACTCATTTCTTTGCTAATCAAAGTTGAAAATATTGCATTTCGTTGATCAAAACTTTCATTGTGCAACATATTGCATTGTTGGTGGAGGTAGATAGGAAATGTTTTCGTCGAATTTTCTTACGACTTAAGCTAAAATGTAAAGGAATAGAAAACAAAAACTGAGCTAAATTTACAAGTTTAATGCGAAATTCAAGACCCTCAGTGATGTAATTTACTATGAGTCACCACTGTATCAATAAAACCTCTAAACTTCACTTTATCTTGCTAGTTTAACTCGACAGTGTCGATTTTGAGACGAAGGATCCATGCATGCGAGAAATTAATTCTTTAGACGCATAGGCTTAAATTAAATCGGTCATTTCAGTGAAGATCAGCGGAATTCCTGTCTTGAATCACTGTGGTCCAACAAGCTGGTAACTAAATTTTAATTGCCTCTCTTGGAGAGTTGAATTGTCACAATTTCTTTCTCGAATTGTTACTGTATAATAGGTCACGCAACGCTAAATTGTCTTTGAGGACCCTTCCGGTTCATAGATCAATAAAATTCATATTAAGTCAAGAGTGAGCCAAATCAAGTTCGTATGTTCTTTATTTCTGAAAATGGCTCTCCTAGAAGGAAAAAACGATTTCGTAAAAATGAACCATGCAAATTCTCGAGCTTAGACTGATTACGATAACGCTCACGACAGCTACTTCACATTATTTTCGGGCGCGGCGACTGCCAAGGATGTTAATTTTTACAACAACTTATTATAGCTTCTGAAAGGATAACATAACGGGCCCGTAGAGCTTTTCTGTTTGCATTCAAGATGGGGATTTCAAAAGTTTTCAAAATGATACAATAAAAATATTAGCAAAAGGAAGAAAAAGGACTGGTTTGGGTGCCAGAACCTGCTTTCCTATCCTTTAAATTTTGATTTTAAAACATAGCTTTGGGCCTGTTAAGTTACGGGACTTTCGAGAAACAGGTCGCTGATCTCAACTCCTTAATGTCCCTCGGGAAAAAATCTTAGGTTAATTTGTGGGAGGAGTTTTGGCATTAGCGCCACTCTTCAGACTAGATGGTATTCTGTTTCCACTCACAATAATGGAATTAAATTTAAATTTTTACTACCATACGATTTGTTTGGGTTTCATTTCAGATTTGTCTGCCAGTACGAGCTATCAGTGACCTGTCTAGTACGGATGGAGCAATTTCTACTCATAACAAACGCAGAGCAAAGGGAAATTTAAAAAATAACACCTTCTACCTTCTCTATCAGCTGAGGGATTTCTGTCGGCTTATTTTGGTCCATATTTTTAAATAAATATTAGTGGACCAAGTAATGATAGTTATTTAATAATAACAGCAACAAAAAGGATTAGAAATCTAACAATAACAACGTATCATAAATAGCATCATACACTTGAAGCATTTTCAAAAATGTCTAGGGTTTAGGCTAATGGTCATTCAAAACAGGGTAATACTTTTAGTTAGTTCTGAGCAAAGACTTAGTTATCTAAATACATTTCGGTGCATCTTCATGTTTGAGCCGTTACCATTCGTAAACTTTGCTTAGAATATCTTATTGAAGTTCAGTGGACATTTTGTTAATCATAAACCACTACATTTTGAAGCAGTATTTACTAAATGAACTTAAAAACTCCTATTTAGCCAGCTGTCGATTAAGCAGATCAAAATGTGAATTTTATTTGAGTGACCCTTTTTGTTTCGATTTATGTTTGTTTCATGTTTTTAAGGGTGTAAATATGTCAGTTATATCCATCGACAAAAATCTGCGAATATTAACGATTTTGGACTGTCCTTTCTTGAAATCAATTTTGTCGACAGTAAACGTCTCAGCAAGTACCCTTGAACTTCAATCCAATTCCAAGTCACAAGAGCGGCCTATCAAAGCTTTTCTACATTTTAATAAGTTCACTTTACCAAACAAGGCTTATTAAAATTAGATACCACCTTTTAAAGTTTTATAATCTCAGTGGATGTTGACTCATTCGGTTAATAACCTTTGGGATTCACCATCGAACATCCAACAGTTAAGTGTCAATTAACGAAGTACAGCTTGAATATCAGGAGTTTTTCTTATTTCGAATGTAGCACAAGTAGATGGCGAAGTCAACAAATTCAATAACAGTTACAGCACTGCAGCCGAGAAACAATCCAAGAGTACCACCAATCTCTCCTACAGGAAACAAAAACGTACAGTTAACTTATCGTTAACCGATATCTACTAAAACAACTGAAAATCAGGTCGTAGAATTTATATTATGACAGTGAGCGAGAGTGTGAATCAAAGAGGGGAGCTGAGGCCCCATCACAGGCATTTCCAGTCCAGAATTAACCGGTCCCCAGGAAATAAGACTGCCTGTACATATGGATATTATTTACCGTATGAACGTTTGGAGGGAGAACAAATACAACCTGCCTGGGATGTCAAGGTAAGCCGACTTTCAAAATATATGAACTTCATATATTTCATTGTATCTGAWGTATCACTTTCACGGGTTTATTACGAATCAACTTAACGGCCTGCTCCCAGTTGGCTTGTTAGCTCAATTGGTAAGAGCGCTGCACTAGTATCGCAGAGGTCAGTGGTTCGAATCCCGTACAGGCCTGATTTTTTTCAGGTCTGATTTTCGCTATTGCTTAAATAGCGCTATCTACTGCGAGGATCGTGCATCATACGTATCTAATACCGCAGTTCAAAATATATGAACTTCATATATTTCATTGTATCTGATGTATCACTTTCACGGGTTTATTACGAATCAACTTAACGGCCTGCTCCCAGTTGGCTTGTTAGCTCAATTGGTAAGAGCGCTGCACTAGTATCGCAGAGGTCAGTGGTTCGAATCCCGTACAGGCCTGATTTTTTTCAGGTCTGATTTTCGCTATTGCTTAAATAGCGCTATCTACTGCGAGGATCGTGCATCATACGTATCTAATACCGCAGTTCAAAATATATGAACTTCATATATTTCATTGTATCTGATTTATCACTTTCACGGGTTTATTACGAATCAACTTAACGGCCTGCTCCCAGTTGGCTTGTTAGCTCAATTGGTAAGAGCGCTGCACTAGTATCGCAGAGGTCAGTGGTTCGAATCCCGTACAGGCCTGATTTTTTTCAGGTCTGATTTTCGCTATTGCTTAAATAGCGCTATCTACTGCGAGGATCGTGCATCATACGTATCTAATACCGCAGTTCAAAATATATGAACTTCATATATTTCATTGTATCTGATGTATCACTTTCACGGGTTTATTACGAATCAACTTAACGGCCTGCTCCCAGTTGGCTTGTTAGCTCAATTGGTAAGAGCGCTGCACTAGTATCGCAGAGGTCAGTGGTTCGAATCCCGTACAGGCCTGATTTTTTTCAGGTCTGATTTTCGCTATTGCTTAAATAGCGCTATCTACTGCGAGGATCGTGCATCATACGTATCTAATACCGCAGTTCAAAATATATGAACTTCATATATTTCATTGTATCTGATGTATCACTTTCACGGGTTTATTACGAATCAACTTAACGGCCTGCTCCCAGTTGGCTTGTTAGCTCAATTGGTAAGAGCGCTGCACTAGTATCGCAGAGGTCAGTGGTTCGAATCCCGTACAGGCCTGATTTTTTTCAGGTCTGATTTTCGCTATTGCTTAAATAGCGCTATCTACTGCGAGGATCGTGCATCATACGTATCTAATACCGCAGTTCAAAATATATGAACTTCATATATTTCATTGTATCTGATGTATCACTTTCACGGGTTTATTACGAATCAACTTAACGGCCTGCTCCCAGTTGGCTTGTTAGCTCAATTGGTAAGAGCGCTGCACTAGTATCGCAGAGGTCAGTGGTTCGAATCCCGTACAGGCCTGATTTTTTTCAGGTCTGATTTTCGCTATTGCTTAAATAGCGCTATCTACTGCGAGGATCGTGCATCATACGTATCTAATACCGCAGTTCAAAATATATGAACTTCATATATTTCATTGTATCTGATGTATCACTTTCACGGGTTTATTACGAATCAACTTAACGGCCTGCTCCCAGTTGGCTTGTTAGCTCAATTGGTAAGAGCGCTGCACTAGTATCGCAGAGGTCAGTGGTTCGAATCCCGTACAGGCCTGATTTTTTTCAGGTCTGATTTTCGCTATTGCTTAAATAGCGCTATCTACTGCGAGGATCGTGCATCATACGTATCTAATACCGCAGTTCAAAATATATGAACTTCATATATTTCATTGTATCTGATGTATCACNCCGTAAGAAAGATCAGAGTCGCCAGAGAAGAAAGGAAAGGAATTCAAACCCTCAACCTGGTCCAGTCCCCAGCATCCCCTGCCCGCATTGCGTCAGACACTTCCGCGCGAAGATTGGACTTATCAGCCATCTCCGCACCCATCCCGCCCCCCAGTGATTCGAAGTCACGGTCTTCTTCGCCAGCGAAGGACGAACATCAGCACTTCAATCCTATTTAATACTATTTTTTTATTTCAAAAGTTGTAAATAACTGAAGAAGGTCTCTGACCGAAACGTTTTTTATTAAAATTTTTTATATTCTTTACGTCAGAAGTTGTCCATCCTCGCAATTTTTTAAACTTTCTACGTTCGTGTTGGCTGTGAGGTTTAGACTGCGAATCTTTATTGATCCTCCTTGCGCGGTGCACCTTTGTTGGCCTGAGAGTTCCATTAACGACTTGCTATATATTATAAATTAGTGACAGGAAGATCGTTTCACCGTGAAACGAACTTGACGGTGAAACGATCTTCCTGTCATTATAACCGCTATTGAAACGCTCTGGAACCCGCATCGAGCACTTTTTCACAGCCACGACTTCTCCTAGTCTGTTTAGTGGTAAATAGTAGAAGCAGTTACTAGCAATAGTTCTGAAGTTTGAAAATGATTGTCAAGCGTTTCCTCGCATACGGTGATTGCGCCCGCAGTGCACGCGGCAGTCAAAGTTTTAGTGTCCTAACGTAAGTGGTACGTTTCATGTGTGCCTAAATGACGTTGTTTATGTAGCCGCAACAACTGCCACTCGAAATGAACGGATTATGGGTATTTTTCTTATTTTTTTCCCAAGTTAAACAAATATAAAGGCAATATTAAAATTGTTATAGCCTATTCTAATACTTGGCTAGAGACTGCTGGGTTAAGTTCGACGAAGAACAAGCTATTTAGTGTATAATTTCACAGCTAAAATCTTGCCTGGTTGCGAAAATAAGCCAGCGAGTTGCCGGGCGCGGGTAACCCGGTTTTGGCGCCAAACTTAAAGTTTAAAACCCAAAAATGTTGCAAATTTTTTAATTTGTTACTACTGTATCTGTTGTAGTATCTGTTTTTTCTTTTTAATCGTTTGTGGGTTATCGATGAGGTCTCCATAGAGAAAAGTTCCCAGATTTAAATGCCTTTCGTGTGAACACTCATTCTCTTGTAGCAATAATTTGTATAAACATTACCGAACTTTCACCGATCACCGTCCCCAACCCCAGGTTAGAAGAGCAATGCATAAGCGCTACATCGTAATATTCTTGAAAAAACGGGACCAGAGAGGCGAGTCCAGATTATTGTTAATTCTTTAGATCAAAAGAATTACGAATGCTTGTGTTGAAAGGCCAAGTATTGATGGTTATGATTAGAGACCAAAATAACAATCAGCCACTCTAGGAAACACGTCGATCAACATCATCCTTGTTTTTTCGAGTATGCAATGGTAATACAGCTTTAAGGTATGATTGACTAATTTAAGACTGCAAAAGTCTTCCAGTACATCAAGCGAACAGCATCAAGAGAACAGTGAGCCCCATTTACTTTATCTCATTTTTCGTTCATAAAATATCATGATCAGTGAAAGATAAGTAATCATTCAACATACCCATGAGTGCCGTACTGTCATACTGAGCCGTTTGCTTAAAGTGTTCATAACTAACAGAGGTGTAACCAACTTCAAGCATTATCAGGTTCTTTCTGCAAAGGTGAAGATTCACATAGACAAATTAAATTAAAAAAATGTATACGCTTATCGTCATTGTTGTCACCATAGATATTATTAGAGCCGAGATTAGGCGCTAGCCAAGAGGTAAGGTGGAGAATTCCTCTCTTATGAGAGAGATCCCGTTAGTGAAAAATGAGAGCTTTTGTGAGCAGCGATGGAAAGTTTTCTGTAATTTTCGGAATCATATGAAGAAATAAAATCATTCATGGGATTTTTTATGATAAGAGAGACTTCTGGAAGGCTTACGAACATGCCACCAGCAAATCAAGTATATACGGTGAGATTTAGATGCTGAGGTGCGCTACCTATTTGTCTCCTCAACCAAAAGTCACATCTCCCTCAACATCTCCTAAAGTTATCACGTGTTCAGCAGACACAGCAGATACAGCATTCCCTCCCCTTCCACACATGTCCAAGGGATGAGATCATGAAGCATTTACCTTTTGCTTATGACTATCAGCTGCTGTTACGTCCTCTTTAGCAGTTTACAATCAACGTACCTGAGATAGTCATCAGTCTTGTCAACTCCCTTCATTTTCAAGTAGTTGATCAGCGATGGGTTTGGGTAGGCCGCAGCAGATGTTTTTGTTTCGTATTTGACCACGTCACAAGCGAGAGGGCATTCACACTGGGTACCGCTGATCAACTCTTTTACAGATGGTGCGTAAGATAAAGAAGTTATTTATTTATTTATTTAATCACTTTCACCAGAGTGTGGTGAGGGTCGCACAACAGAGCGAGGCTCCAAATTAAGTGCGCCCTATATCCCACCCATCCCACAGTAATCTCGTGTGTGGGAAATTAACGTCTCCTACCCCAACCCTGCAGGAGACGGGACCTCCATTTATTCGTCCCTATCCGAGAAGACTAGAATATCTAACCATTTCTTGATGTTATAGAAAGGTAGCAAATTCTTCTCAATTATTTTAAGACCCTGAGTGTTGGTCCGGCCGGGGCTCGAACCCTCGACCTCCCGCACAACAGTCCAGCGCTCTATCCATTGAGCTAACCGGGAGGCGGAAGTTAGTTCTAGGTTACGTCATAACTGTCATATAGAGTAAATGTACTGATGAGTAGTTTCTAAATATTTCAATAATAATTAGCGACAAAATCAACTAGCACTACTCGCTGCCAATTTAATCGGCTGATTTTTCTTGATTTGTGATTGCAGGATTTCGATTCAGTTTATCTCTATTATCAGAAAACCGCTACGATAATCTTGGAATGTTAGAAGGATGGACCAATAGCCCCCCAAACCTACCAAAGCGCAGGTAGACAGGCAGACACTACATGCAGATACTACAGACTGACAGAAAGATGGGCTACGAAGGAAGGAGGAGGAATGGAAAACATGTCAATTATTCTTACCTTCATACACCTTTAAAATACATTGAAAGTCATCCCTGTAGCAGATCCGCTCGCTCAAGCGATCTTGGTAAGAAAAGAATTCCTTCGTCAAATGAAAGGAAAGACCTATCTACCATGACATTTCTGTTTCATTACTTCACATATCAGCCACGAAAGGATACGAATGAGAATGTTATCTTCGAACGCTGATAGGAACATCCATACCCAAATGTTGACGATCGAAAGACCAACAATCAGAATGGCGCTGGAGCGCATCAAAAATCGGCATTACTCCTCACTCACTCCATACATTGAAAAACAACGAAAACTGGGGAGAAAAAAGTTCTATGATACTTCCGAAAATTAATAAGTTCGATGAATTAGATATAAGAAGACTTAGTACTGAAGAAGAAATATATGTCAGTATCTGAGCAACCTCACCCACTCCTCACCTAGCCCAACAACAGTCAACTGATGACAAGTGAGGGTAAATGTTGGGTTAGGGGAGGGGGGTTGTGTAGTTGCTTAGACACTGACAAAAATCCACCAGATCATTGCAATTATTTACCTGAGCCCACTAGCGAAGGTAACCTACAGCCACATTTCTTTGCTGTTGTGTTTGACAAACATTCCTCATAACATCCGTCAGAGTCATACTTCGGAAAACCAGCAAGCCTTTTTGAGTCGGTGCACTCCGTCTCGTAGGGCCTTTTCTTGTTTCGATACTTTGAGACAAAAACAAACGAACAAACGGTTGAAACGAAGCAAACGAGCACAGTACTAAACAAGAGAGTCTTAAGTACTTATAAATAAAGGCTGATAGTTTCTAAAGAAACTGTTTGGGGCTGCGTCGGTGGGGGTAACGAAATCGTTTGAATATATCAACAAAGTTGAAATGGTAAATTGGCCACCGTTACGATTATAAAAGCTGACGTTTCGAGCGGTAGCCCTTCGTCGGAGGGCTAACCCTCGAACGTCAGCTTTTATAATCGTAACGGTGGCCAATTTACCATTTTAACTTTGTTGATATATTCAAATTATTAAGTACTTATAGCTGTCTGATGCGAGTAGATTTCGTGAATAGCGACCGCTGGTCAGTTTTGATCGGTGACTCGTCTCAAAGCGGTCACAAAGCGAACACAAGTAGACCAATAATTGGCCCAGCCATTAATACAAACTCGAATGTTACCAGCATCAAGTAGAATTTTTCGTGTGGTTTAAACTTGACCAGGGATCTGGAGAAAACCTCCGAAGCTGGGTCGGGAACATTAAAACCCGCACACAAGGCCAAAATCGGGAATCAGGCTAAGATGTAATGATTGGATGTCAAAACTCTCAACGCTACGTCATCAACGATACCTCTCCTTTACTAGATATATTAAGTATCACATGTACTTACCACTTTTCGTTTAACGTTGATACGAACATAACTCCCGGGAGCCACAAGGACAGTATCTGCAGAGTTTATATATACTCCCTGATCATGAATAATGACGAAGATCCCCTCGGAAAGAAACCCAGCCAAATGGTCATCCAAGTGAAGGTCTAATTCTACATGTAGCTCCCATGCTGAGTCGCTACGAGACACTTTCCTTATTTCCTTGCCATTCTGCCCTGAGTTGAATGTGAAGCAGAGACCCAACTCTGTCACAGTAGGCAAAAAATCCTCGTTGGAGCACCTGGAATCCAATGAACCGAAACGACATGTTAGATTTCTCTGCAGATCTGGACCATAGGCTTCCTGGAATTTCTTGTCGTCGAAAGATTTCTTGTCTTTCCTTATAACCTCCAGAAGTTCTCTCTTGTATTCATCGGTGCAGTTACTGAGAACCATAGGAATGTCTTGGACGTGTGATGCGCAGCAGCATAGCAGGGCTTCTCCACATGGCCTTCCATTTCTTACATGTGCTGTTGCATTACAGACGGGTAAGTCTAGCCCCAATGGTTCAAACATTGCATCATCGTCTGTCATGAAAATTTTGCTCTTCGTGAACTTTGTCATGGGACACAAAGTAACCGCAGGAAAAACCATTGTATCTGGGTGTTGGATCCTCATGACTGTAGCAATGGGGAATTGAAAATACTTGCTAATGCTTTTAGACATGAGATACAGGATCAAACAAATTGAAACCAGTAGTAATACAAGCCACAATATTCGCACATAAAGAGAAGCCCGAAAAAACATATTCCGGAAACCATGAAGGCTTGTGTTTTGAGCAAAATCACTCCACTTTTCACTTTTTGGACTTTCCACTATGCCTCGGGGAGTTTCTTGAATGTAAAACGATGTAGCTGGACTGTTTTCAATAACTTTGTTTTTGGAGAAAAAAGAAAATACAAAGTTAAAACAAACATGTAAAAAATTTGCTGTATCTGTCTAATTATCTAACTTTTTATCCACTTACCTTATCCAATGATTTATCGACTGATAAATTAATCAATTAAATAACTTATTCGCCCGCAAGCTTTGCTCCTTTGGTTGCTGAGAAAAGCTTCAAAACGAAGTTCTTGCAAAGACCATATCTGCTTGTTTTCTGTGTTAATTATTTAGAGTATGGCGCTGTGACTTGACGTTCCGTAATATTACCATACCTTGCTAAATTGATATCTGAAAAGTTGCCAGCAGTTATTTAAAGAACGAGGAAACAGATGTTTATTCACTCGGAGCATTCCAATTCAATATTCCTACGCCCTATCGTATTTTCAAAGCCCCTGCAAAACACACACATTTGGCTTGAAACGTTGCTTCACTGAATCAGTTAAGAACTGACCGAGTTTGTCACCGCGCCAAGTCCATGCATAGTGTGAGGTATTCACTTCCGAACTACGGTAGCCGATAAGCGCGCGGATAGCTGAAGGCACTTGCTTCGATATTTCTCTTAAGATTAGATAGGAAATGCTAAGAGTTACTTGTGAATGTGGTATTTGGGGGTCTACGCAAAATTCTCAAGTTATTATCCTAGGACAACTTATTCACGAAGATTTGAACTACATTGTTTATATTTTCATCTTTTCATCAGTTTGATTTAAGTGACTGAGCATTCATGAAAATTGAAATGAATACTTTCAAGTTCGTTAAGTCCGATGAAGAGTGACTTTGTAAAAGTTCCAATATATCCATTGACATCAGATGGGAAACAATAAGAGACACTTGTGAATGTGGTATTTGGTGTGTATCGCAGAATTCTCAATTTTTTATCTCAAGAAGATACATTTACGATGAGGAGAACTACATCGTTTAAATTTTCATCCTTGATTAGCTTCAGCTCGTTTAAAATGAGTAAACTTCCATGAAAACTAAAAAGATTACTTTTGATATCTCTGATAAAGCGCATTTTAATCGTTCCCTTGTTGTTCAAAACTACATATAATTCAACTGAATTTTCAAAGTTCAATATCCAGGTAACAAAAAGCGTTTTGCTTGTCGAATTAGTTCAATCTGCTTGTACACAATGCACATGTTTGTAGAGTGAGTCGACAGGGGTTAGTCCTAATGTTATTTCATTTCTCTCAATTAAAAAGAAAATTCATTATCACGAATAAGAAAACTCAATTACACCGATTGTGGCTCGTTACTTACTTGTTACAGAACTGCCGTCGACATCGGTCGAGCTGTTTAAAGCCTTTTCATTTTTCCCAGCCTTCCCTTGGTCATCCGTTGGAAAATCACCCATAGCTTTCATGTCGCTAGGTTTTCTGTCCCATGAGTGTTGAAGAATAGGGGCAGGTTTTTCCTCCAGTTCCATTTGGCGAGAGATAGCGTAGGTGGTTTGCCTGATGACTGACTATTGGGATTTATAATCTATGAGCTCGCGCATGAGTGGTTGAAAAGCCCCACGTGACTTAATATCCCCCAGCTATAACTGGGGAATATCCAAAGATACATGTACACCTCAAATGAGAATTTCAAATTTTCAAACCTCGCGTTCAATACAGAGAATCTGCGTTTAAAATTTAATTCGAGATGAGAGAGCGTTGTGTGGTTGTTACAGAAGAATGAACATGTTTTTTGTTCATAAAATCGTACCAGAGAACACTGAAAGTGAACATGCCATGCGTCAACGGTTTTTTCCTGCGCTGAACTGTTTGTGAAGGATAAGAACACATTTCGTGAAACGTTTAGATCGAAAAAGTTCACACCCCAGAATTAGACAGTTATATTGTGCTCCACGTACCTAGTTTATTACTTCCCATTTTATCTCTAAAAGGTTTTCTCTACCGTGGTTAGAAAATTTACAGTTGTTTGTGCAAATAAGAACACTTTGGGAGAAAAAAGCTGACTCCTTATAAAGTTTAAACAAGCGCGCCTTCTCGCGATCAAACTTACTCTGAATAACAAATATTCTAATCCTATTTTCAACCAGATTGTCGCGTTTTGCGAAATACTTTCATTTCAAATATAACATTTATCTCATAATGTACCAATGAAACATATTGCAATCCAAGTCCAATATTACCACGGAAAGAGTCATTCTCCAACAAGGCAGGTTAGTTTCAATAACCATGTTATTGGAGTATCTCACGGAATACGCACCCGATATTTAAACTCAAAAAGCAGTATCAATTATTTATAGTGCTATTTTTAAGTAATGCTCACAATATAAGTGCATTGTTAGTTATTTTTGAATGTTTGTGTATTTGTATTCTGACAAAACATAGTCTTGATTCGCGCTGGTTGGATCTGAGATTGGTTACAGCTACAATACTGCTCTCGCTAGAAGACAAGAAAATATATTCACTCGTTACTTTCTCTGCTGATTTTTATTGAATGACGTTCGTCAAAAATTACCCTTATCAAGTACGAAGCTTGAATTTCGCAAAGGTTAGATTAGATTTCGCCTCCCGGTTAGATTAGATTTCGCCTCTCGGTTAGCTCAATGGATAGAGCGCTGGACTGTCGTGCGGGAGATCGAGGGTTCGAGCCCCGGCCGGACCAACACTCAGGGTCTTAAAATAATTGAGAAGAATTTGCTGCCTTTCTATAACATCAATAAATGGTTAGATATTCTAGTCTTCTCGGATAGGGACGAATAAATGGAGGTCCCGTCTCCTGCAGGGTTGGGGTAGGAGACGTTAATTTCCCACACACGAGATTACTGTGTGATGGATGTCCTCCCCTGGGGTGGGATGGGTGGGTTTATTGGGCCCGCAGTAATGCGCGCAAGCTGTTGCGGTGTCCCTGCTGGTTGGCGAAGCTAAATGAAATAAAATAAAATAAAATAAAAAATAAAAAGGAAGGTCACGGTGGCGGTATCCATGCGCCATTCTTGATGTAGCTTATGCTGCCGCTCTACCTTGTGTTCTGGCGGGCTCGCACTTACGTTCAAAGGTCCAGCAAAGGAATACGTAGATTCTTCGGATTCACGCGTTTAAGTTAAAGTAATAGGTAAGTTTGTTCTTGACAGAAATATTTATTTCACAACGCAGAATGGGTGTTCTGGAGAAGGCTCCTTCTTAGCTACGTCCTGGCTTAGGATTTCTAGCCGCCATTTTGATACACCAGCTTGAGTTCAAAGAAGCTTCGGACGACTCAAAGAAGCTTCGGTCTTGGCTAACAATATCCACCTAGTGTATAAGACAACCAATTTATTTCCTAGCAAATTGCCCCGTTAGGGGGCTTTAGTGCGGGCGATAACGTTTGGAAACTTCCTTCGAACAGCACGAGCCTCAATATTAGGATTTCTTCTTGTGACGAGTGCGGCAAAAGTAAATGGCGAAGTCGATAAACTCAATAATGGTAAGAATACTGCAGCCGAGAAACAATCCAAGATTGCCACCAATTTCTCCTACAAAAAATTGTAAGGGTACTGTAAATAAATGGCATTTGTTTCAACGGATCCCTTCCGTAAATTAAACAACTTGTATCTAACCACTGAAATGAATTAGTTTCCCCGTACGCAAGAGAGGATAAAACTAGAAAAGACTAAATCTCTCATGAAGGCCTAACTCCAAAGACAATCCCTGTCCAATCACTTGTGCTTGAGGTTTCTGGTCTCCTTGGGTAACGAAACATGTTATTCTACTGCAGCTTGGATGCATTGACTAATAAGGAATGGACGCCTCATCAGATGTTCATGGGGAAGTGTTCGTGACAGAGCATTGTTTATTCTGAGACAAGGATTAACTTATACAAATCGGGAGTGTTCTGAAGGTAACATAAGAATGATACGACCCACGGCTAACAGCAGTTTTCATTTGAGTAACGAAAGTGATCCTAGTCTCCTTCGCAGCCGTTTTTTTTGGGCTGTCACGCAACGCTCCCCCCAAGAAACGGCTGCTTAAACCCGAACCACGTTCATTTCCTTTGTTTTGAGATCATGATGTAACAAAATAATCCACCAATCACGCGTCGCCTTTTGTTATGAAGAAAACCAATCACGTATCAGTGAGTTATCAATTTTGTAAATTTCCCTCGCGAATTCGACGGAAGTTGCCAGATATCGCAATGATTTACTATGGATGTAACTGTCATCGTCAGTCTTTCTACTTATGTTGGCAGCACTTACTCCTATGCTTTGTAAATACTTCACTTGATCCTCCATGAGGCTTACCAGCGGAGAAACAACAACAACGATATGCCCTGAAAGTTTGGTTGTGCGGTCGAACGCTAGTGGAAGAGCTTGGTAAATCAATGATTTTCCAAATCCTGTAGGTAGGTTGACAAATACATCTTCACTTTTCAACACATATTTTCCAATTGCCAACTTCTGATGTTCATTTAAACTTGGGATTTGGAATTTCTCACAAACCAAATGGAAAGCTTTTTCGGTCGACGCCATTATTTTCTTCACACTCAAACACCGATAGAACACGAGCTGTGATTAACCAAATGGTCTTGGCGCGACTGCCTCAGGATTATGTGAGGGGAGCCGTGATTGGCTAAAGCATGGAAAGGAATGTGGTTCGGGTTTAAGCAGCCGTTTCTTTGGGGGAGCGTTCTTTGGGGGGGGGGGCGTTGCGTGACCGCCCAAGAAAACGGCTGCGAAGGAGACTAAAGTGATCCTGGATTACTTTGGTTTTGCTTTACTTAGCTTAGGTGATTGGTCTAAAAAAAAACTCGCGCCACTTTCCCAAGCTATCAAATGCAAAACTTAAGTCAATCCCAACTTGGTTACTCGTATTTTCCCGCGCTTTAGGTAGGTTGTCAATTTTTATTTAGAACTCTCATTGCTTGATGATGATGTCAGCCTTTCTTTTGACTGGTAGTTGTGGTTCCTTTTGTATTGGTTTTTAGACAATCAATTGAAAACTGCTATAAAAATGCGTCTTGGAGATTGGTGTCGCAGCTTGATCTTCATTTGACAAAAAAAAACATCATTGATGAAAGGGAATAAAACGAATTACACTTGTTTTCACAAGAAAACACCTTGGCCAAACATTGGTGTTTGGCCAAGGTGTTTTCTAGTGAAAATCACTCACAGACGTGAAAATCATTCTCAGACGTCCTACAGAGAAACTGAATGATACTATCTCAAGGTCTTAAATCACAACCACAGCTGACCAAATTATCAGCATGTTACATTACGGCTACCAAGGTACCCTAATGTTAATTTTCTTCAGAAAATTGTGAGAATAAACTGAAAAACCAACCTACCCATGAGTGCCCCGCTGTCGTACTGGGACGTTTGCCTGAAAGCCTCATAAGAATTTGTCGTGTAAGTAACTACGAGGTTGATCAGGTTCTTTCTGCAAAGCAAAATTGCACACGCACAGAGACAACAATGTAAAAACATTAAAATAGGAGAAAAAAACATCCGACCAAATTTCTTTAATCGGAACGTTGTAATGTATTAGTATACATGAATGCAAATCTGTGTCCGTAAGTGAGCAAGTTCTTTTCATGCGCTGCAGCTACACCCCCTCAATTTTTCTGAGTTGCTGTCGAAATAAACTTACTAGGGCGAAGAACCTATACTTTTATACCTCCATTTGTCAGACCCTGTACAATACCCATTCAATATTATAGCGAGAGAGCTTCATGAAGGACGTCTTTGCTCCATGAAAAACATTCAATTTATTGCAAGACTCACTCTGAATTAGTTATGAAAGATAGCTTTCTCGAATTTCACTGAAAACAAAGTAATCAAATAATAATAAAACGAGCATCTAAATAAAAACTAAGTGAAAAAATTTTAAGGGATGGATAGATATTTGTTCCCTTGGAATCCGCTCAATGGCTAGCTAGATTAATGAGAATCATTCCACGTACAAAGTGTGAGGTAGGTGAAAAATATCTTTGAAAAGTTTACTCAGATTTCAAACAGAAATATAAAACTTATAATCTGAATGAACTTATTCACCTACAAAAACGTAGAAACAAAAAGGGCGCACTTAATTCACGAAATACAGACATTAAACAACAAACACCTAGGTATTCGCTTTTTTAGTTTCTTTCATCGAATGCTTCACATGCTCTTCAGCATTGAAGCTACATTTGACCTACCTGAGATAGTCATTTGTCCTGTTATATCCTTTCGTTTGTAATATTTTTATGAGCGATGGGTTCGGAAAGGCCGCCGTAGTTGTTACTGTTTCGTAACTGACCACGTGACAAGCGAGGGGACAGTCACAGTCCAAGGTCCCTGCGACCATCTCTGTGTCAAGTAATACATGTTATTATGCATTAGACTTTCAATGGAAAATATGATTGGTCGAGAGGATTCAATCAATATAAAGTAGTCTGTGAATTTGACAGGATTACCCAATGTCTGCAGTGGATATTACATTAATCATGTCAGGTTCAATATCTTCCTGGTTTTCAAGCCCCTCATCCATTAAGAGTTCTCAAACTTTCATGAAAAAATGTAAAGCCTGTATTGAATTCCGTTTTTGCAAGATATCATGAATAATTAGACCTTATGTTTATGTTATGATAACTCAGAGCAAGGTTTTGATAATTCATTATATCTTGCTCTACCTCGTACAATATCTGCCTAGCATGAACTGATCAAATATTCATTATCCGCTGATAAAAGTTCCCATCACTTTTAAAGTAAATGACGTTGTAATTGAAATATATACAGTCAGATATCAGTTCGCTGGTTAGCGCTAAAGTATAACTATCGTAATTATTTTGGTCATGAATCTCATCTAAGCAGGACACCAGTCCTTAACCCCGTTTCCTGTATAATTATCACCAAAAAGTAAATGGTTTGAACCCGGGAGTCACATTAGATCATGATGTCTGATCGTCCAGGTGGGAGAGTGCTGAAAGGAAATGTTGTCAGGAGTCGTGACTGAAGACGTTTCCCAAATAGATTTCAATTCAGTTTTCAGAGTGTGAAATCACTGTATCATATCACAAAACGTTTGTCTAAAACAGCCTTCTTTCGGCGTACGGAAAGACAGGTAGGGGGGGATGACATAGAGGTAGACAGACACTAAGTCGGACCCAACAATCGAAAAGCAACAAATTATTGAATGGGGTGTCCAGACAAAGATAAGAGATGAGGTGGACCGGGAAAGAACCTGTTTATTACACCCACCAGAAAATACGTCGTTAGGGCATGGTTTGTCATCCCTGAAGCAAATTCGGTCGTCAATTAATTGATCTAAGTGAAAAAAATATCATCATCATTAAACCATTTCATGGAAAGGAAATGGGCCCACAGTTCTTAGCACTTCTGTTTCATAAAATTGTACCCCATGTATATGTCCTTGCAAGATGTTATCTTCAAACATTGACTGGGACGCCATGGGCAAAATAAAGTGGATCAAATTCCGAAATAACTTTAAAAGTGTTTCAATCAATTACATACACGTAAGACATACGGTATGATGATAAGTGTCTATATTTCTTGTACCATAACCCTATTATAGCCACAATCTGTAAATTAATTTTCCTATTGATTACCCTGAATTTAGTTCAAAGAATTCAAGCAAGTGTATCCAATGATCGATGACTAAATCCTCATTACATTTCTTTTTCACGAAGGACAGTGTTAACAACCACCAACCACTTGGATAGTGTGAAGAGATACGTAAGATTGATACAAAAAAGTCATGATCACCCAAGAATATTCAAACTGCGAAATGAAAACATTAGAGCTCTGGCAGTTCAGTTGATTTCTTACCGGGGTCACTTGGTAATCTACAGCCACATTTCTTTTCTGTTTTATTTGATATACATTCATAATAACATCCGTCAGAGTCGTACTTTGGAAAACCTTTAAGCTGTTTTTTGTCGCTGCAATTTGTTTCGTATGGCCATCTCTTGTTTATATACTTTGAAACAAAAAACAAACAAACAAACAGTTGGAACAAAAACAAACGAGCAGACCATGAAACAAGACAGTCCTCCATCTTAAGTTTTACTTCTAATACCTCCACAATGTGTCAGAGTTTGCGAATGGTGACCGCTGCTCAGTTTTGATTCGTCAGTTATTTTTAGGTTGATCTTACCAGTTTTTTTTTACTTATTTGGTGTAATCGTTAAGGTGTTATCATTACACCTATAACATGCTAGAGATCGGATAAGGATTTTCAAATGTTTAACTTCTACTCGAGAAGTTTTGGTCCGGTCAATCCGCAAGTCTGTTACTAAACATACCCCCTAAACAGCTTATTTTAAGTTTTACTGAAACTATCTTGAAGAAATTAAGAGAAACCTTTAGTTGTGTTGAGGAGGAAGTGTTGAATCCACCCTTACCCCTCTTTGTACGACTCTGGGTTGATTATTAATGATGATAAACATCTTTTTGAATTACCTCTTTCCGTTTCACACTGATCTGAGCATAACTCCCTGGGGCCACCAGGACATTTTTTGCGGGATTTATATAAACCCCTTGATCATGGACAATGATCCGGATTCCCTCGGAGAAAGTCCCAACCAAGTGGTCATTCAAATTAAGGTCTAGTATCAACGACAGACCAGTCGATGTGTCACCGTAAGATACGTTAAATGCTTCTTTGCCATTCCGTCCTGAGTTGAATGTGAAGCAGACCCCACGCTCAGTCATAGTTGGGACAAAATCTTCATAAGAGCACTGACCGTCCCGCATTGCAGCGAAAAAGCATGTGTTGTAAATAATCATTCGCCGCAGACTTGGACCGTAGGCCTCGTGGAATTTTTTGTCATCAAACGATTTCTTGTCTTTCTTAATGACCTCCTGAAGTTCCTTCTTGTAGTCATCAGTGCAGTTACCGAGAGCCATAGAAATGTCCCTGGCGTCGTGCTCTGAGCAACAACATAACAAGGCTTCCCCACATGGCCTCCCCTTTCTGACATGCGCTGTTGCTTTGCAGGCAGGTAAGTTCAGCCCCAGCGATTCAAATGCAGGATTATCGTCTCTCATGAAAATTTTGGTCCTCGTAAACGTAGTCATCGGGCACAAACTGACCGCAGGAAACCGCATTCCCTCTTTTGGGTAATGGATTCTCATCACCGTAGCAATGGAGTACTGGAAGTACTTATGAATGCTGCTGTACATGGAATAAAGGACCCAGCCGGTGAAAGCTAGTAAAAGAACAAACCAAAATATCCGCACATAAAAAGAAGAACGAACAAAAACGTTTCTGACGCCATGAAGGCTACTGCTTTCTGCAAAATCACTCCACGTTTCTCTTCTTGTACCTTCACCTTTGGCATGAGGACTGTCTTGAATGAAGAACGTTTTCACTGGATTATTCTCAACGGTGGCTTTTTGCAAGAGGAAAAAAAACAAAAATTTTTCAAATCAGCCGGCGGTGTGAGGACCATAAGCATAATTATAGATAAACCATAGTTACATGTAAACGTGATATCTGCAAATAGTGCTCTAAACATATCAAGAAGCAGCACTACTCAAGAATATTTGATTTCTATTATCGCCATCCACGCTCTCTACCTCCAACTAAAGAAATGTTCATCTGTCGATTTGTCAACCACACTTTGACCAAGGCAGTGTTGTTTACCTCACGAACGAACACTTTAAAATAATGCCTCACGATTGCTCAGTATAGCGGTCCAATTAAAGCACCATTAAGTAAGCTGACGGCTGATCCAATCTCAAGGTTAGAAACAAACAAAAATAACCTCACGATCCTCAAAATAACCAACGACTATCTTATGTTCGAAGAAGAATCCAGCTTTGCCGATATTTAGTTAAGAAATACTTACTTACACAGAGATGAAAGCATAAAACGCATTGCCAAACGATATAATGTGAAAAAACCATGAGAACTCAAACAAGGAAAAAAATGTTGGAAACTTTTGTTCTCTGTTCTGACTGTTAGCACTTTATCTAATGGCCACAAATGTTTTGTTAATTGATTTCTAGTAAACTTATTTTCGTAACGGTAGAGGAAAGTAAAGGTCCAGTTTACAGAGACGAACCCAAATGTGGGACTGTAGTTCATGCTAAATTCGACGTTTGAATTAGTTGAGTTCGTTCAATGTGAGTGACAAATTACAAAAATTACAAAATCGCGCAGCCAGAGTAATAACTAAATCACCTTTTGATACGAGCTCCAACCTCCTTCTAGCGATGCTTAAGTGGGAGAAGCTGTCTCTTCGTCGTAAAAAACAGAAACTTTAATTATGTATAAAAAATTGAATGAACTTGCCCCACAATATCTTCAATGTCTTTTCACTCAACGCCATGTTAATGATTATAACTTAAGAAATCTTGAGGGAAAACTCTCGCTGCTCAAGCCAAATACTAATTACCTGAAACGAAGCTTTTGTTATAGCGGGGCTTGTTTGTGGAATAACTTGCCCCAACATCTGAAAGGCGTTGGTTCTATTGCGCAGTTTGAATGGGGTATTAAAAAGGTATCTGAGATATCGGATCCCCACACGACAATCATGTAAAACAGTTGTAATAGTTTTAGTTTTTAAATTACCTTTAGCTTAACTGATGATTCTCCGTGTATAAATAAAGTTTACATTACACATTACATTACATTCAACTGAATTTGGTACGACCTTCAAAATTTTTCCGTCTGCTTCGGACGTACAGAACCTATGAAGATTGATTGTGGGACAAACGTCGATCTTTTCATGAATCAAACTTAATATATTCAAAAGCAATTTCTTTATCTGAAATCCAGCTGATCGAAAGATTTATTTCTGCTGCTCTAAATTTGGTTTGACGGTCGAACTTTTCTCGTTTGGGTCGACCAAAATTGCAATTTAGTTCGTCTCACGTGAAGCTCGACGTTTTAACTATGCCTAACATTGATTATCACCTTGTGAGATTTCAGAACTTAGAGCTTAGCTGTTCCCCTCTACGTAGGAAAAGTCACTGCGGGAGCAAACGTTGTAATGACAGTTCATAACATAATGGAAATAATCTACGATTATTTAAATTTTTCCAAATATGAGTCGACCAAGGTTAAATTAGCCAGGTGTTGCATTAATTTCACGATGACATTAACAGAAAAAAAAAAAAAACTAGCCTGGGAAGAAGTAACTTTTCATCTTAATCACGCGCTTGGTAACTCAAGCATCCATGTGCAGTTTATGAATATTAAAGTTTATCTAGTGTCGTGCCAAAATTCAATAAAGCTAACCTACAACGTCGTGCTAAAATCGAATAGAAAAGAGAGTTGTTTTAAATCGCCAATCGAAGGCGCTCGCTCGTTCCATCTAGGTATTATCATACATTCTCGGCGTCCAGAAGTTCCGTTACAACCTTTTCGATAGGATATCACATTAACGAATTTGGTATTAATGCCTTCTCCAGTATCTCAGGCGTATCATTAAGGACAATATTCATGAAAGACACTATCACACTATTTACATTTTCCTCGCTAATTTCACCTCAGTTGACTGAACACGGTTGAAAAATAATCCAAAATCATTCTCGCTCTTTCGGAAATGTTTCCTTTAATATTAGGATAGCATGCTCCCTCCTACAATAATCTAACAACAAACAGATGTTTGTTTTGACAGATGTACGTATTCTATAATTAAATTCGCTAGCTTATGAAATTACTCCACTTCGCAAACCGATGTCCTCTGAATTTGAAAGGCGCACCTGATTACCATTAACTATGTCATTCGACTATAAAGATATCTAATACAATGAATATATGAAGTTCGCCATTGCATAAATAGCGCTCTCTACTGCGAGGATCGTGCATCATACGTAAAGATATCTAATTCATACGAAGAAACAAATTCAATGGCTGAGTTTCTAGAAATAATCTTACCTTGATTAAAACCATTGTCAGCGTCTGAGCTCGTAAACACATCAATAACATGACTTGAGGCAATGCTGTTGTTTGGACCAAGTTGAAATTTTTCGGTCTTCTCTTGGTCCTCGACCCGATAGACATCCACAGCTTTCTTATAACTGGCTTTTCTATCACGAGATTTTTGGGGAAATGTTTCTTCCATTAAGATGTAAAAAAATGCTTGAATTTCTGCCTTGTCGTAAATTATTCGGTGAGTCACGCGACAAGTAGTTTCTAACTAGGGAGTCACAACATCACGAGCGATGAGCCGGACGAGAAAAATTAGCGCAAAATATGAGTGGTCAGTGGCGGTAGAAGTTCTAGTACTTCATATAGAGACAAATCAATTGTAGTTGCAGCAAAAAATCGTGTTATTAATCTCTAAATGTTATCAATATACTTCGCTAAATTAAAAATTATACACTTTTTCAAAAGTGTTGACTATACAAATATGTTTTGCTGCTTTAATGACCAACGGAGGTATCGGTGGCTTCGGGAAAGAAACCAAGAAGAATGTTATTTACGTTTTGTAACTTAATGCGTGACGAAATAAAAAGTTTCATGACTTTCGGTTGTTTAGAATATTAATCAAATTTGGCGCAAATTTGGTTTCCGCAATCTGGTTCGTCAGTTCAGTAAGACTTGTTATGGATGAAGACCAAAAGCCAACAATGTTAAGATATTTAGTGATCGACTTCTTGAAAGAAGAGCTCAATGGCCTTTTGTGGCTACTGCCTCCCATGGGAGGTGAAGCAACATATGTTGTCGAGATGAGTGAGTGAGGCGGTGAGTGAGCGAGTGTAACAATGAAATACCGATCTTGACCCAGTTTTGACCCGATGTTTCCCAATGCTACCTGCTGCTTCTTTTTTTTTGTTTCGGGTAACTAAGTACCTCAACATTTGTGCTCGATACAGAACTGAGTTCTCTCCTTTTGAGATTTCTGGATTATAGCCACTAGCACATTGTGTATTCAGTTTTTCCGTGCCGCCATGGAAGACTGCAGAAAGCGATAAACATCTCACAACCATTTTAGGATTGTGCGCTATTTCAACCAGAAGTTCTCCTTGCAGAAATATCTTAATAGGTGTGATCGGTGCTTCATAAGACTTGGGGGAAATTTTCTTTACTTTAAATAGAGAGCATTTTACCGTTTAAATCAGCAAATTATGTAGATTCCACGATATAATCTTTGCATTTCTTGCAGTGCGGGACGCTACAAAAGACGATAAACATCTGAAAATAATTTCATGGTGGCACTTAAGCTTTTTTATTTGCTTTAAAAGCGCATACTGGCAGTTCATTCAATGAAGCTTACAATTTCAGCACGTTTCAAGATTCCTCTGATATGTTTACACACAGGAGACAGCCCGACAGAATGTATTCCTTAACTTTTAGCGTCTTCGCTAGGGGGGCCGCTATATCAAACACATTTTAGCATCGCATCGAGAGAAACATTTTTCTGAAAAGATCTTGGCTCAAAACATAAAATCAAAAAAGGAGCATGATCTGTGACATGAGAACTAATTTTTTGCTGTGGATTGCTTTGTTACGCTTGTTATTTTAGTTTAGTTTGATAGAAAGGTTTCTTCGCAGAATTTGAGTCTATTAATATGGTACATTTAGCTATGTAATCCATATTGCCTACGTAACACAAACGGATCAAACTAGGGATGTTAAACCTGCAGCTAAGTTTTTGTTTTTCCACAAAAAAAAAACCCCACACCCACACAATCGAGGAATCGACCGAAGGCAACTCGCTCTTAAAACAGTTAGATAGGGTGACGAGGAATTTCGAACATTTACAAAACGTCGAATACAGGTTAGATTGAAAAGTAGTTTTTTGAAAACCAAAAGAAATTAATTTTCTGTGTTTCGTTAACCATATAACTTATTGAAATTTTGTTGTCGCACGTCCATGAAATAAAGCTATTGGCACCTACTGGCTTAGGAAGGGATCTCTGACTTTGTAATAGCGCGTTGAAATTAACACTCTTACACACTCATGGTTCATACGTAAAATGCTTCAAAGAACAGAATTGTATCCTTCATTCGCACAAAAGGATTCAATTTTTAAGAATAGCCCCGAATATGGGCTTTACATTCCACTCAAGTGGTGTTTATTTGAAGACATTTCGTGCGTGGGAGGCGTTTTAAATTTCTGTTTTTAGCTTTCTTTAGTTAGATGCGTGATCTAACAACATCGTTGGTGGATTAAATTCAGTGAGCCCGATCTAACAACATCTTTGCTGGATTAAATTCAGTGAGCCCGAGGCTGCACGTTGTCCTTTAATTAGACAATAGCAGAAGCATACTACATTTGATTTAAGCTGATAAATCGCAAATGAAAAGAGGTCAAAGCCGCTATTTCAGTTCTATGAATGCTTGGAAAATCACTTCCAGCTAAGAGGTAAACATTATTTCCACTGGACTTTATCACCTGAAGAAGATTAACAGTATGCAGTTGGAACGTCGCGTTTGATCAGATGTACACGTTAACCAGCGTTATAGTAATGAATAAACATTATTACTATATTATTTTTTACTTCAGAAATTGATTTCATCTTCAGATAAACGAGAACACTTCATTTCTAGAGCATTCGCCATGCTGAATTTCCACAAGCCTTTTTACGTCATCAACAGCAATTCTCGTTGTCATGCCACGCTGAAATTCCCTGCATCGGTAAGAATGTTTTGTATCAACCGAACGTTAAAAGCTTGTGTCTCACTCCTTCCAGTGTAATGTACCCACTGGAAAAAGACAGGGACCGAGAGTAAATAAAGGCCTTATTGAGGTCACGCCTACAGCAGCTTTCAACTAACTTTTAACTGGCAGTGCAGCCAGTTATATAAGAAAGAAAAATTTTATTTATGCATTCCCGTGAAAATAATGTAATTCTATTGCAGAAAGAAAAGAAGAATCTCTCCGCAAAATCAGGCGTTTGAAAATGCTTTGGTTTTATGACACGTGATGAATCACATCAATGAGCGGTTATTCCTTGCGTTGGCTTGAAAAGGTTTCACTTGTTTATATGAATTATGATGATAAATTAAACTTACCCCTTGCCAAGTTCAATCAACAGTGCGTTCTTGTAAAAAAAAACTGCACTGAAAATCAAAGAAACACCCAGCCCCCTGTTAATTTTAAATGATTTTTTAATTTCCCAGCTGTTCAATTGTAAAGAGTGATGTACTTTCATATAAAAAATTAAATTCAAAACAAAACTAAGGTTTATCTACATAAGTTGCCTGAGTTAGATGGAGAAACTACAAGTGATTTTGATAAAGTTTAGGAAAGAGAGAAAGGCTGGACATATGTTCTCTGTACCTGTGCAAATATTATCGACTTTTGAAAATTTCCATAGTCACGGATTTGTTTAAAGTTTTCAATACGTCAACACACAAAATCTCCCGGGTGGCTACTCGTCCCTTCCTGTGAAGAGTAATTATTTATATATTGTTGATTCATGTAGTTTTTCAATTGATTTAGCTCATTGTCATGTTTCGTAAACATTGAGAATCTAACGACCTTGACCATGCACGTACGTGCTCACCATAAAATCAGATAGCATAAGAAGTGATTGAGTTTTTAAGACAACTTCCTATTTGACTAAAAGATATCGAGGCTGGCACCATGGTTTGGTCTTTTTCTGATTCAAGATTTTAAGGTTATATTTTACTGCATAAATCACTTCAGTATAATCTGTCCTAAGATCAATTGAGAGCTGAGCTAGGGTTACCTCAGAGTGGTAAGTGATACCTCGAAGAAATGACTAAGTAAGCGACGTGGGAGGGTAAGGTTAGTCTTCTTGGATGACAGTGCTATCACCTTAGGCTCTGTGCAAAGACCTCTCCCAAAGTGACGTTCCCCCCCTCCCCCAGCTCCGCTATTCCTCTACAAAAAAGCCTATATTGGGTAATCCATTGATTCACGGTTTGTGCATTGTTACAATTTGCATAAAAAAAGAGCAAAAAATAAATATATATATATATATATATCATAGATCGAATTCAATTCTAAATCCGGTGAAAGACATTTATGAAAAATATTTTCGAGACTTAATATTTGGAAGGAGAATCAAATGCATCTTCACCAGTTAGACTGAATAAAAACTAAGAAAGAACTATGAAATGAGTTAAGTACTGGATCCATCCTACTCGCTTTTGAGCTTGTAATAAAATATGTCACGCTAGCATGATGAATTATATTATAAATAGGATCAGCACCGCGTCCCAAAAATTAAAACAATCTCAAATCAAAAAAAAAAAAAAAAAAAAAAAAGTTTTGGGGGGGATTTTGATATGGAATCAAGCTTGAAAAGAATCAAAACCATGATAATGCAAAATTTTCTCTCTAAGGACAACAAAACTTGTTTTTCACTAAAGGTAAAAATATAGCTTTATTTGAAACATGGTCATCTCAAAACAAATTTTAAATTAAATTAATAATTTAAGAGAGAAAACCCTTGCCTCTAAAGTCGAACATGCACGAAAACAATCGCTCCTTAATAAAGTAAAGAGCGATTCGAAGCTTAACCCTTGAACCCACCGTTCCTTGCGAGGTAAATTTTGATTTTACGTTATTTCAAAATTAAAGCCTCACATTTTCGTTAAATTGTTGAACGTGAGGCAAGTATTCATGTGAAAAAGTCAATTCGTGATGTGGAGTAAGGAAAGGGCGCGTGTATATCAAGTAGAATAGGCTTTGTACATGCTCAAATTCCATGTTTATCTAGAAGTTATTTTGATATGCAGAGTGTAATTTTATTATCCCTAAATTTGATAAAGTAACGTTCGTGTATATCATTTTCTCTAGTATGAACAGATACTATCTTAAACTTATGTTCTCCATGCATGTATGTTAACTAGATTAATAGCTCATTCACACCAAAGTTTAAACATGTTTAAAGCTGTTTTGTTAAACACGGTTTAAACTTGTTCTCCCCACAGAAGCTGCATAAACTCATGTTCGTCCCTTCAAATGTAGGACATTGAAAATACAATCAATTCCATAGAAAAATCAGTCTTTCAGTAGTCAGCTTCTGATTTTCATTCAGTTCAGCCTACTTTAACCAAACATGTTTTGCTGGTGTAAATCGGGTATAAGTTTGAATGTGTTCAATTTTTTTTAGAATTATGGAGACGAGTTGATATAATATAGAGCGCGAACTTGTAGGTACGGTACCCCACAGTAAAGTAAAGTATATCAGAGAGGGCCAAAATTGGGAAAAAAAGTTGTGAATTACTCCAATATGGACAGATACTGACTAAACTTGTACTCTACTGTGACTTAACCAGAGAATTTAAACAATCCATATACTTATATTAGTTCGCAGTGATCGTCGATGAAAGGAGATAAAATTAATTTTTTCGACTGAATTTACCAGCGTCTTACCCCAATGTTTGACCCTTGTCACAGTTCATAAAAATAAAAACTGCCAAAAACTCAAGACTATTGGGGATTGGGATGCGGGTCATTCCCGAAAAGAACTGTATTATGCAAATAAATATCGTCGGAATATAGCGCGGGTAGTTCGCAGAAGTACAGCAGTAGGCTCCATACGATACACTCAATAGGGAAGTGAAAATCAAGCGAATCGAGAAATTTTCACAACCGTAGATAAATGATTTCCGAATAACAACAATGAAATGTTTTTCTTATGCTCTCAGCCTTCAACCTACAACTAAACAGCTTTCCCTACCATAATGGTCCCTGTTGAGTCGATAGAGCCTACCACTGCCTCATTTAAGGAACAAGTCGAGTCAAAGCCTTCTCTTTTATCCAAATGGATAGAATTTGCCACAAACGCAACTCTCCATGGGTTACGATATGTCGTCCAATCTTCAATACCAAGTCACAGACGAATGGCGTGGGCACTTTTACTCTTTGCGGCCTCAGGTGCTTATCTGTACAATTCAACAAAAAGCGTGAAAAAATATTTTTCAAGACCAATAAAAACTGAAATTTCGCAAGAAACGCCTCGAAATGGCTTGAAGTTTCCTGCGGTCACAATCTGTAATTTAAATCAGTTCATGAAAACGAAAATAGACACAACTGACGAGGACGATAATTTTGAAAAGCTGGGATTAAATATTAGCGGATGCAATGAAACGAGAAACGTCCGTGGTAATATGACATGTGGCCAAGCTTTATTATGCGTTTTTAATGATTTTGGTCCCTTTCTGGTGAACAACTGCAATATTCCAACTAGGCAGAGAATAATGAGTGTCCTGAATCACACGAAACGTATCTTTAATGAAAAGGAATTCCTTGCTAAGTATGGGCACGACCTCTTTGGCATTAAAAGCATGAATGGAGGTACGAATCACTGTGTTTTTGAAGACAAGGAACGAATAAAATGCTCAGAACAACACTTTATTCCAATTGTTACAAATAGCGGCATCTGTTACACGTTTAATTCTGGTTATAATGGATCTGCAGAGAGTGAGCTGTTTCGTTCTTTATATGAAGGGTCAGATTTTGGTCTAGCCATTGCTCTCGACGTTCAAACCAATGAGTCCACCTTCAGTAGTTCTTCAAGTGGCTTAGCTATCATTGTACATGACCAGGACACCTATGTAAACTATCATTCTGCGTTTAAAGTCCAGCCCGGCGCACATGCGTCTGTCGCAGTCAAGTTAACCCAGGTGAGAATATATAACTTGAGTCATTTTACCTAACATGCCATCTATGAAGCTGTATCTGCAAAACAAAGAGCAAAAACCTGTCATAATGCTGCTAGACAAATGAATAAAGTGGGTTAGTTTCTAAAGAAACTGTGGTGCTGCGTCGGTGGGGGTAACAAGGTAATTTGGTTAAATCAACTAAGTTAAAATTGTAAATTGGCAACC